GGGGCGGGTGGGGGAGGCAGAGGCGACCCCCATCGGCCAGGAGGGCACACCGGCCGCGCGGCAGGGGGGTCCACCTCCTCCCCCGTTTGTTTACCGCCGTGGACACGGCGAGGTGCCCGACGACGCTATGCACCCCCAGGACTCACCTCATGATCTCGTTCTCGTGCTCCTCCTCCCTCTTCTGGCGCATCATGACGGACTCGATGATCTGCCGCTCCTCGGGCGTGAGGTGCGACAGGTCGGGCATGGCGGCCATGCTGTCCGGACTGTGTGGCCCCAGCACTAGCCCCGGCCCCGGCCCTGGCCCCGGCCCCGGACACGGCCCCGGACACGGCCCCGCGGGCCCCGGCCACAGCCCCAGCCCTCACGCGGGGCGGCGGGCTACGGCATTGTGGGCCTAGTGGGCCGCACACGGCCGGTACAAACGGGGCAAACCTCGGCCACCGACACGGCCTCGCCCTCCTCATGGCCACACCGCTCGGCCTCGGCCTGGCGGAGCCCCTGGCGGAGCCCGGAGCCCTCGGGCCTGGCGGGCCTGGCGGGCCTGGTGGGGACTCGCATCACATAGCACCGCACGGGGTCACGCTCTGGGCCCCCGCACGCCCCGCGCGCTCGCGCCGCACGCTCACGCTCGCACAGACACACGACAGACACACGCTCGCGCCGCGAATACTGTAGGCCAGTCCCTGCGGGCCCTGCGGGCCTGGCGGGCTGGCCGAGGGCTGGCCGAGGGCCCTGGGAGGGGTAGCTGGCCAGGCGTGGCCAGGCGTAGCCCTAGCGTAGCCAGGCGAGGACCCGACGGCACGGGTCGGCTCGCTTAGGCACGGCGCGGCGCGCGGTCCTCCCTCTCCACCGTCTGTCTCTTCACTAGCGCGCGCAGCGCAACGCCAGGCCAGCGCGAGCGCTACGGGACGGGCCCGGGCCGCCCCCACCCCGTCCGCCCCTGGTCCGCCTCACCGCCCCTTGCCCCGCGAGGCGCAGCACGGCGCAGCACCGAACAGCACCGAACAGCACCAAGCAGCACGGCGCAGCACGACGTCGCGGAACGGAACGGTGCGGAGCGGACGGGGCGCGGCGGGAGCGGCAGGGCACCACCAGTGCGGAGCGGCGCGGCGCGGCGCAGCGCCACGGGCGCGGCGGGGGAGGGGGCGGGGGCACAGGG